GTATTTTGTTTGCTTACAAACGTGTTTATTCCAAAGCAGCATTGAACGTGTTACTAAAACCTGTCTGAAGCCTGTCTCCACGCCTGGGCCTTTGGCAGAGCTCTCTCCCATGTTTTGGCACCTGACGACAGTGCGCTAACTCCTATTTCACTTTTACTGAAGGTGGAATTTAGGATGAAATACCTGACCAGGGACGTTCTGTAGTTAAGTTTAATCCACCGGCCCTGAGTTTATTTGTCTAGGATTCAGGTAATCTTGACTCAATTCCTATCTCCTCCACAGTCTACTCCTATGAGCCTGACAGATTACTTGGGTGGTGCCTCAGATCCATTTCTGCATAATGACTCTAAGAATTCTTTACTCCCTGCAAGTCGTTATGCAAATAAATCAATAAATCCTTATGAGATGTTTCCATATCTCGAGGGTCAGTCACAGGGTATATTTTTAGGCTGACATGTGATTCCAAAGCCTAATAAAAGAACAAGGCATTATCATGTCTCTCCTCTCTCTTTTTTAAACATCACAAATAATTTTGATCAAGTTGTCTCATTTGAATATTGGATTAAATTCTGATTCAACCATTATCTGCTCCAAACCCATTTCTCTAACTCAAATCTAAAGCAGATTTTCACTTTTAATAAAATCTAAGCAAAATAAGAGCACACACACGGAGAGACCCTGCGAGATAAAACAACGTGGGAGGAAAACAAGCCTCTCACCCTGCAACGTCCTCATGCAGTGTCTCCAGCAGAACCCAAACCACCGCTGCGCTACTTGCCATCAGATATTAGTCACACCTGGGCCTTACATTACAGTTTACCGTTCAGGCTCAGCCCAAGATCCAGCTGCAAACAGTCTAGTCAAACCATCTTTAAAGAGCCATTTCCTTGGGGCAGTTATCTGAAATTATTTGTCTGCAAGACCGCGTCGGGATCCTCACTCTCTGACCACTGCCTTGACTTTAGGGAGCCAGGAGACGCGTTTTCAAGCGTGAAGGTTGCTAATACTAACAATTCGTAAAGGAGGAGGAAGATAGTTGCAGGTTCGTGTTTTAGCCTTAGGGTAATTGCTCGTCAGCTGGTCTGGTTTTGGTACCCTGTGGCTTAATCGGCAAACCCTTAGGACCTTCTCTTGGTCCTTTTTCAGAGCCCTGCCATGGCCATTCACAGAGGTCAGAAATCAACCCTGTTTGGCTCACAATTTCCAAGTATTGCTCTGCGTATGCCAGAATTAGTGCGAATACCTTCCACATGCTTATTCACGACCATTATACTGGAGTTTGATTTTTTGTGACGCTGACTCATGGGAATCATATCCTTCTCCTGAGACAGATCCATTCGGTTCAATGAGACCAGGACAGAGACGGCACCTCCGTAAGAGCCTAATCCTGAGAGAACTGATTTTACATTAGGGGTGGATGTTTTAAATAAACAGCCAGGACAAGAAGGAAAACAACGTTATCTTTCTATTTGTCTATTACGGAGTTTTGGGGGGGGGTGTCTTTTAATTAAATGTACTTAAATAAAATTTTTATCTTATGGATGATACTGCTAGTCTTTGTATGTCTTCTGTTGCCTCAAAGCTGCCATGGCTATAAGACCTGTTTTTCTTCTCCCGCAATTTGAAGCAATTGGCACAGGCTGGTTCATCATGGTGTGAAACTCTCATTTAGCAAGAAGATTTTCCAAGCAGCCCTATTCTTTATGCAATTTCTTCTCTTACCTCACTTCTTGTAATCTTCACAGCAAACTCTGCTCATCTACCTTGTATTATTTTTTTTAATTCAGCTCTCTGTATTAAATAACCTCCTTTCTTGACTGGTTTTTGAAATCTCAGTGGTATCTCATACAGAAAGTTTAATTTTTGTTTCCCCAAATCCATTGGTGCAACGCCTGTAATACTGCTCTGTAAGCTGCTAAAATTAACTTCAGCAATTGTATTCCTTGGAATTTGGACTATCAGAGTGATTCTTAAAACTTCCTTATCCCAATTTTCCTTTGCACTCATTGTTTGTTATGGCATCTTTGTGAAGGTCACCCTAACCTTATGGGAGAACCAGACAATCGTAATTATATTATTTTTTATTTCTTTCCTAAGTCGAACAGCTCTCCATAATGTTATAAAAACCTTTCTCACAGAAAGCTGCCCTCAGTCTTCAAGAACAGAAACAGTATATTTTCAACCCAATTTGTATTTTATGCTTTTAAAATATAGGGAACTGACATCTCTTACAGAATTAAGTCCTCTCTCTGCAGAACATCACAGAACTCAGTCGGTATGCACCTACCACGGACCTTAGCTTTCTGGAGTCCATTTCAGCTCCCACTGAACAAATTCTTTCCTGCTAGGTCTCAGTCAATTTCAGTCATATCTGGATTTATCAGTCACCCTTTGTATCTTCAACCAACAGATACAAACGTTTCCATCTGTCTTTTGCTGGATGACTCGCTGCCTTATTTGTCCTCCCAATTTACAGTTCTGCTGATTACTCTGAGAGTTCAAACTCTTCTACGTCATTAAGATCTAACTAAGCTCTCTGCATACCAGATGCAGTCATGCTGCTCTATAATTACAAAAGGTAGAACGGTTCAAATGAACATGTCAAAATGTCTCATTTTCCCATTACAACTATTTCTTGAATTTAACTTAACCTTTTCCATATTCCTGTTTCTGTTTTCTCCTAGTTATAAATGACTTGAGCATCACTTGCTTTTTACTTCACATTTTTCTATTTATTTCTGGCAAAAAAATCCCTCGCTCATGAGAACCTTCTACCTGAACCACACAAAATGTTTACAGTGCAATTGCACATCAATCTTTTGGGTTTCTGATTTTGCTAAAAACACATATCTCAGGCTCACCAAAATCTTTTCTGAATGCTAAGTAAGCCTGACAAGATTTCCAGTTCTGCACTGAAAGCAACGAGACATATGCAATACAATGGACAGTGAAAATCATTCCTTTCAACTGACTTTCGCTTTGGTGTCCATGAATGAATTGAGTACCAAGCTCACAGCAAAAGCCAAAGGATGTGTACGGCAGCCTGAAGATTGAAGGTGGCGAGTCAAACCCATCAGATAATAGGGTGTCTTTGCTCTGCAGATAAGAAATGTCACAGCGTCTGCTAATCTAAGTCATTGAAGTATGCCTAAAAATCTACTTTCTAATATCTTTAAGGAGGACTTGTATTACATTTCTATCTGGAAGATCTTCTGCTCGTTTAACTCACATCATGCATTGACAAGGGCTGGTCTCTGCTCATTTCCTGGAGGTGCCATATTATCAGTCCAGCTGAGTGCATTTTGAACTGCTTCATTTATTCAACATCCAGGTATATCAGAGTGAAACAGTTCAGTTAAGATATTCTCCTTTCACACTTTCAGCATGTCAGCTGAAAGGGATGCTAAACTACTGAACTTTATGTTTATTTTGAAACTGCCTTTTAATCCACTTAAAGAGTCTCATCCTGATCTTGAAGAACAAACAAGCAAAAGAGCTGGATTCTGTCATGATTAATTACAATGGAAATCAGTCCCAGCCTAAACATTTACTGAATGCTTAATCCCTGTTAATGTTTATACTGAATATAAAAGCCAGCTCCAGGGAAAAATATATAGTATTTTTATTATCATTATCCTGTTTTGTTTTGGTTTTTTTTTTCCTGCAGCAAGTGCTTCCTTGGGAAAAAGGTACCCGGTAAAAAGCAGAAATAAGACTTTTTGGCGTGTGTGCGTGAAGGTAGTGTCGCTAACAGAGGAAATATTTTAGCATGGGATAAACCATGGAAAAAGGCAAACATACAGGAGGTTTATTTGATACGCACAAGCCAACTAGGGCAGTCAGCACGTGCAGAACATCAGAACCGTGTGGGGAAGTGGGTAGCAGCAGAGGGTGATGCCACAAAGAGGTACGGCACAGTGTATGACGGAAAGTAAGACAGACAATCCAGTGTCAGCTCATTTTCTTTGCTTAGAATCTGGCTCATCTAACTAGAGTGTCCATTTTGCTTTTGCTCTTGCCACATGCAGAAGGTCCTTTCTTAGTAAGCTGGGGAAAGTGAATATGCTTTCAGCACATGCTAGTTTATAGCAATCACTGCTTATACCAAATGGTTTTGATCACCCACTATGTTAGAACAATTCCACAAAAAAGAAAATCTGTGTGATTTTTCACTCACTGTTGTTGTCTCCTCTTTGTCCTAACTTCCCAGAAATGCTAAAAAGATGGATGGAAAGGTAGTCAAAAAGCCACATATGGTGAATGACATTAAATACTAAAATCTTATGTTCTTTGGGTAGTTATCCTTCTCACAGTAATCACAGTAGTCTCTGCACATAAGGAAAAAAAAAGAGCCAGAAAGATCGTCACCTCTTAAACATTGTATTTACTAAAGCGTGAAATCAAATTGCTCCAACTTGGGTGCTGCAGCTCAGCCCTACGGCCACACTACACCGTTGAAAGACCACCTTATAAATGTGCTACCTTTTCTTCCCAGTGGAAGTTAAGCTCCTCTATAACCACTTTGCAGCCAAGCAGCAGTAGACATTTTGTTTTCGGGGCTGCGGAAGGATAGTACACAGCGTGAGAGAGAAAGATTTTAAAAGGTGAAATAGCTCAAACTACTTTTTGCTTTATGAATACATTCAGCTACAGATAAAACTATTAATCTTTATGCCAGTCCACAGTACCTTACAGCATTTTAAGCAGTCTCCATTTGAGGTCCTGATCTGACTTCTCTAGTTATGAATAAGTACTGTCAACAGCTCTAAAGCACCATAAACCACTCTTCTTCTCTTACTGCTAAGGACATTTCAAGTTCCCACTGCATACAACATCGTTTAAACAATAGTAAGAGGAATATACGCCAATCCTAAGTATACACTCAAGCTACCATGAACTACCAATGCATGTCTGCCTGCTAAATGCCTGGTTCCTACACCGATACACATAAATATTTGCACATTTGCTTATGGTGAGGAATTTAATAGCCATATACTCACATGACTTCCTATTTGCTCGTGACCGCTTCCTCTCTCTAGGCACCGCTCGCTGGCTTGGCACTTGGGTGGCAGACTTTACAATGCGATCCATGATCTCATCTGCTGCGTCATCCGTTGCATTAGGTGAATCGTCGTTGCCAGCGTTCCATGAACCGATACGGCCTGGAAAAGTCCAGCAAATGAATTGAGGGAAAAGAAGACGGAAAGTCTCTTGCGTCACTTTGGTTTTGCAATTGGGTTTTTGGGGGAATTACTGCAGGCAGCTCAGTCATTGCTACTTCAAACTGGCCAAAGGAGAAGACTCTGCCTAATGGAGAATATGTCTAAATAATACCCTAGACTCTCTGCTGTATCAGCAGAGAACCGAGAGCTCAAATGCAATTATAATTTTCTGTTCCCTTCAGCCTCAGCATCTTATTCTTGACCATACAACTGGCAAAAGTCTGCTAGAGACTGTCCATAAGCCAAGGATTGCTAGTGTTATGTGACCATGTTTCCCTCCGCTCCTATTACACAGAGACTAGAAGACACAGCACATGTTTAGAGACTGATGCAAATCAGCAACACAGGTCCTTTGTACCAAAAGAGAGAAAGAATCAACTTCCGAGCATCTGTATCACAGCCTAGTGCAAAGAAGACGTGAAACGGGCAAAAAGTGTGGTTTGATATGTCTCGTTGTCCCTTTCACAATGAAGAACTCACCTTCTCATCATAAAGCTGTATGTGTCCTGGCACAACTGCGTGTGCTCTGGTATGAGCAGAAAAGCAAGAGTCATTGGCAAGCTGAAAAGCTAAATAAGCAATTTTGGTTAAAACCACAAACAAACAAGTGAGCCATGTCTCCAAACCCAAGGCTCTGGCACTCCTTACTCCACGGAGCTGCGTCAGTCGCATCTTTGGGTTCCTCCACTACAGACTACTGTTCCGCGTGCTTTTTGGTTTTAAGTCATGTGAAGGCTAGTATGCAGTGTGAACGCTGACAGAGAGTTCTGCAAAAGAGTGGGTGTGGTAGAATTGCAGCTAAAAATCCGCTGGTGACGCCGCTCTTTATCACATCCCCGATGTCAATAAACAACAGCTTTGATTAGCACTTTGCCCTGCTGCTTGTCTCCTGGCTCTCGTCAAGAGCAGCTGTATTACGATAACGCTCCTGACGAGCTTCTGTCTGGCTCAGGCGTCCTCTGCCTCTGCTGTTCTTCAGGGGAACACAGACTGACTCTCATTATCAGGACACACTGCTCGTTAGCATTCAATGGATTACTTCAGCTATTCAGTTTGCTGCAGTGCAGCTTGAATTATTTCATCTTTGTACTTTAGCTAGTTGACTTGCTTCTTAAATTGGGGCTGTGAAACGTCTAAATTAGACAGGATCATGGTTTCAAGCCTTAATAAACTACAGACTTAGTGGTGGATGCTCTGGATGTGCTATCAGTGGTATCAAAAAAGAATCAAGAAAGTGTAAGATATCCAGATGTGAGGGGAAAGAAATACCAGAACAGCAAACTGAAGACTTGAATTTTGGTGCACCACCTTTTGTCCAAAACCAACTTCCACGTATCACATGTATGGGAGGGGGTGAGGGGAAGACAAAAGAAAATAAACCGGTGAACCCAGTGTCTGTAAAATGATTTAGCGTGAAGAAAGTGGTTATTGGCTGCTTAAATGAAGAGGTGTACCAACGAATCATGTCTTGGACAAAACCCAAGGCTATCTCATTGCCAAGAACAGTTGTACCACTGAGCTCTTCTGTCAGAGTATCAGGTGTTGGAATCGGTGGATCGGGTCAGATTTTCATTTCCTCCCTGTCAGCTTTCAGCAATCACCCGTGCTGACGCTTAGAAACAGCAGAGTGCCGTGGACCTCAGAGAAAGTGGTATCTGTCGGGACAGCAAGGAGGCGTGGGGCTGTCCACAGCAGCTTTTTATGCCCCTAGCCTCCGCTGAATCCATTACCTTTGCTGTTTAGCAGGGAGGTAGTTAAAAGATTCATCATCTTTTTCCTACCTGTTTTCCTCTCCCCAACCCTTCCCTAAAATGCTGCAGGGCCCTTTCACTTCAATTTGAATTGCTACTTTCTACTTGCTTCTATTGAAAATAAAAATAAAACCACATCATGGATTCCCCGGATGGCCCATTTTGCTTTCATGATGAGAACAAGACTAAAAATTGGGGTGTTAAGCGGGCAGCCACGTTCACGGTGGCGGGGCGAGGTGAGAATTTCTGCAGGCTTGGACTCCAAATGCCCCCAACGCGGGCTGCGACCCACACGTTCAAACTTCAGGTAAATCCTTCTACATCCCCGTGCCCCAAATCGCCACTTCCAGCGTGGAAAACACCCCTTGGGTCCTCTCCTTCCCCTTCGACCCTTTCCGCCACGGGCGCTACGCGAGGGGGCCGCGACCCGCGTTGGGCTCGCCGCGTGGCTACCGCACCAGAAGAAAGGTGGCCGAAAGGAACCCGCTGGCGCTTACCTCGGCTGGCCCGGCTTCGAGTGCGGACCCCGAGCGCCGTGGTGCCTTCCCCGCTGACGGAGGTGGTCTTCAGCACGGCCTTCATGTTCTCGTGCTCTGCAGCGTCCTCGGCGTACTGCAGCCCCTGGGGCTGGCTCTGGCAGGGGGGGGAGCTGCTGGAGAACTTGCCGGACTGCGGGAGGGGGAAAAAAACACACGGATCTGTTGTTTCAACAGAAAACGGGACGGAGAATAGGCCGGGGTCTTTGACCGCGAACTGCAAGGTGAACAACGTCCTCCCGGGCTTGGTTTGGAGGGCAGCTATTCCCAGAAGAGCCAGTCCTCTCCCAGAGCATGCACCCTGAGCAGAAATAAACTGGAAACGGGGCGACAGCAGGCAGCAGACACAACCAGAGGAAAACCAGATGCATTAGCTCAAGCTTTTATCATTTTGGTCCTCTCTCTGAGAGTATAAGGGACAAAGCGAAGACGTGCTTTGACACCTTTGACCCAGGCTGGGCCTGACCTGGGGTCAGGTACGACACCGAGGGGGACAGCACGAGACCCAACACAAATAAGAAACTGCTGTTTTTTCGGTACAGTCACCTTTTAGTAACAAAGCCAAACGGGGAGAGCAGCCTAGGAAGAGAGTCCTTTCCCTCTTGCCTCTCTGCATTGCTGCACAGAAAACTCTCAAACTGCTCTATAACACAAATACCTACAAGTAACCTTAAAATGCATTATTTACCACTAACGCTGAAAAAAATCCCTGGTCCCAAAACAGCCAGCCAAATTATTTCATGGCCAAAACACAAAAATTGCAGTCAGCAGTTAGAGGAACAAACAAAACCTTACAAGAGGTTTAGGAATCTGCCCTCTGCTTCCCCGGCTCCCCCGTGATTTCCCTGTCACCACGACTACGTGAACAACAGCGGCTACATTAGCTGGGCACGAGTAGTGTGGGGAGGCAGCAGCTCCACCGGTTACCGAAAACAGCCATCTAGAAACAGATGAAAACAGCAGGAACAGCTACTTTCTAGGGAGGAGGAGAAGAGCTTGCATGGCCGGGCTGCTCTCCCTTCCCAGCCTCTGCCTACAAAGGGCTGCGATGTTGGTCTTTGCTCCGCTGCTCTCATCTACAGAGAGGCTGAAGCACGGTTAAAATACAGTCCCGGCTGCAGAAAAATACCAGCTCTGTCAACAGCAAACAGGCGTCGACAGACAATAATACCCCTCAGTATTCTCAGTCACATCATTCTGGCATCAGAAACTGAAATACATCTTCTTTTTTCCTTTTAATCTTTCTTACTCCAACCAGATCAGCACAGATGAAAGAAGGTGTGCTGCATTCTCTTCTTCCTTTGCATAATAAACAACATTAATTATTCACTTGATGGTATTGAGCCAGTCAGTTACAGGGATGCAAGCCTGCAGAGCCTTTCTGTCAAAAGGAAGGTAAATTGAAAGAAAAGACTCGGCCCTACTTTCAGAGTTTTGATTGAGTCCCCAGGGCTGTCAAGACTGCAAATTGAAAATATTTAATCTGGAAATCAATGACAGGATAATTCTATTTTAACATAACGGCTTTTTGGGGTAGGATAGCAAATTAAATGAGTAGCAAAACAATAATCCCTACAAGGCACTGAGCTAAATATACCAGTGTGAGATTTATTTTTGATAGTGAGAAATTTGTTTTCTTGTTAAAATATTAGCTTGCAACATTTTGATGTGGAAAGTACACAAGTGCTAGAGTTTCACATGTGAAATTAAAAGACAAAAAACCAGAGAGAAACTTCTATGAAAGTGCATGCCAGTTTTGCATTAAGAATACTCTTTTATACACAATGGGTTGCAAAGCTAATCAATACCATCTCAGAAAAAAAGGATAGTCTTCACATAACTGTTAGTTACTATTCACCCAGGTTAGTTACGTGTTGGCATAAACAGGCTAATTCATCTAATTTTCTTTCTGCGCCCCAAGCTATACAGCACAAATCATCACTGGGAGAGAAGGCCTATAGCCAGAAGTTTTATTTCACTTCCTCAATTTTCAGATGTTGCCGTAGATTAATGCCCAAACCCCAGCCTCTTGAGCAAATGACTGCCATTATGAAACAGTGAGCAGTAAGCCACATTGTTTATGTTCAGCAAATTGAAGAAGGCTCTAATGCTGAACAAAAAAAGCATTGCACAATAGATGCTCCTCAAACCAATAAATTGTTTTATTATGACTATAGCTAGCACATTATAATTCTTAAATTATTTATTCACTCCTTTATTCATTTTCAACATCACCTTCAGGAGCACTTTCTGACAAATACATGAACTACTCCATGGCTCACCTCTACGGTGACTGGAGTATCTTATCTGCAATTCATACAGCAAGGAGAACCATTACAATTTGCTTTACATCCCGATATCCTGATGCTTTTGAACACTTTATAAAATAATACCATTTGGATTTACACAGCTTAAAAATGAGTATGAAATTATCATGGTAATCTGTGGCCCAAGGTAACTGATGATCTCCATAACATTCAGATCACTGATGTTTTGGGTAGTGGGGATACTTTGCAGTTTAGTAAACAGACATTAAGGAATAGAAATGAGGAACTTAAAATTCTTAAGGCCTCAGATCAGGATATGCTTATTCAAGAGAGCAGGTATGCATATGGTGAAGCTGACTGTAAAAATGCATTCTTATGATTGAGCCAAAAAGCTATGAGAAAAATGTCATGGTTCATAGCTCCCACTGAGCAGATGGAGTTGAGCAGTCCATACTATCTGAGTTAGAAATTAGATGTCACAGCACACCAGGTACATGGCAATGACATGCTTTTTCAGAGAACCATACCTCAGCATCCTCTTCTTCATCGGTCTGCCACCGGAGACAAAGGACAGGGTGGAGAAGGACAAACAGCAAGATTTAGGACAGACAGTATGGTCAAACCACAACAGAGTAAGAGGTAACCACGGTACTGTTTATGCAATTATAGGAAGACATAAACATACAAAGTGTATAAGGAATTAATTCCTTAGACAATCAGCTTGCCGATTTTTTATTTTTTTTTAGTTAATTGTACGCAGAACAGACTGTCACTGTCAGTAGCATATATAAAGATTTCCTGATATTCCTTAGAGAAATGATGAAACCCTACCCCTAACCCATCCTATTTCTCTCCCTTGAGTCATGCGGTTGCTTGCCTACTTTTTGCCCTGTGGAAATTGAGAGCAGTAGGAAAGACTCCCTTCTCCTTTTTGCAGCTCTGTTCAGCACAGGGAGGTCCTGGCTGCTCTTTCTCCCAGTGCAGAGGTCAGCTTCTTGGCAATTCCTTTTCTCTACACTTCAGTGCTTGTTTTAATTCCTTTTTTAAGCTGGGGCTTTTTAACTTCCAGTTTAACAGAGAACTCAAATCAAATGCTGAGTAGTCTCTGAATAAATGCTTAAAGTTTTTCAGTAGCTGCCCGATATCAGATCCTGGAAATTAGAGAGATGCAATTATCCTTTGTCATTCAGGGCTTTCACCCTCTGTGACAGCAGGCGTGTAAAACTATCTTGACAGTTACACTACGTTAAATGCAAAAGGCATATCAAAATATTGTGGCATATGGAGCATTCTTAAATTTGGGGCTTTACAGGGAATTAGCAAACTATTTAGAGCTGTGTTTCCCAAATGCCTGGGGAATTCTTCATCGGGTCGTAAGATGCCCCACATGGAAGGTTCCCAAAGTAAAACACAGTTTCTCAAGTATCTGGGTGCCTTGTCTCCATAATTTTCAGTTTGATTGCTCCTGAAGTGCAAACATAGCCCAGAAATCCGATGCATTTTTTTATTTGTGGGTTTTGTTTTGTTTTTTAGATGAAGCATTCCACCAATTCTACTCCCCTCCCTAGTGTTACTAATACATATTTTTGACCTTATCTCCATCTCAGCTATGATTTCTGTCTGGGATTGATACATTCTGTTCCAAAAACATTCATCATTAAAAATGAAAGCCTGATTTACTTTGGCCCTCAGCTTAGTTTCAGCACAATCTCCATAAGAAGATTAGCTGTGAGAGTGGTGAGCAGCACATTAACATTACTTTTTAAGGGTATGTTTTATTTAAAGAGTGAGATGCTTATTTTTCTTTGGACACAGAGGCACTGACAGAAACACAGGCAGATGTTTTGCAGAGGGACCTCAGCAGGTATGTCCCCTTTACATTAAAAAGATCCATTGGGTTTTTTCCATCCCCCGGGGGGGCAAGGAGTCACACCATAAAGCAATTCTTCTGAAGAAGGCCACTGTTCACTTCTTGGCATGAATAGGAAACAGAAAGGAGAAGAATGGGAAGCAAGAGCATACTTGCATTCTAATCCATATGTAGATCTATCGAATAAATAAAAGGCAGGAGGAGTGCAAATTAAGCTAAATAATATGCAAAAGGCACTCGGGGAAAGGTGAAATAGCAGAGTACCCACATTACAAACAGCGTGCCCCAAACAAAAGTCTATTATATTATTATTATTTTATATCAAGCTGGATTTTCACAGGGGAAGTCCCAGCTGCCGGCCTTCCTGCCCATTTAATCTAGCTAAAAGTGATCTGCTGTGGACTTACTTTAAGGGCAACGTACTCCTCTCTGACTTTGCTCCTCTCCAGTACCCAGGGCATTACCATTTCCCTTCGTCCTGCTCTGGGTGGAGAGGGCTCACACCTAGAACCGCTGTCTTCTACACCCAAAGCTAATCCAGCGCACGGGAGGAGCAGTTCATCATCCCCGTCACGTCTCCATGTCTGGAGAGCCGTTTGCCCCCAGCAAATACTGATAACAGGAGTCAAAGTAGCAAAATAAATACACTTTTGTTTCACGAGGGAATCTGCTCTCACTCAGGTGTCTAGATTCTGCCTTTTATTTCCTTCTTCATTTCATCATTATAAACACACTGAGAAAGATTAATAAATCAGGAAATTTTTAACATGTAATATTACCAAAAAGCACTGAAAGAATATTGGTATACTGAATACCTCTTGCGGACACGAGATGTTAATTTTAAGAAAAAAAGGCTGCTTGATTCTTCTGTCATCCAATACTGGATATTGCAGGACAATCTGGGATCCTCCTCCTTCCTTCCCTCCCTCCCTTCCTCCCATTCTTCCTTTAGGCTAGCATTTCTATGTGGTGGATTTGCCATTTCAAAATATTATTTCTATTACATAGCAATTTTGGAATTGAAACTCTTAAGCATCGTAAAAAGCAGAGCTTCATAAATCTGGGAGACAGATGGTTATATTACCTACTATTATTAAAAATCATTAAAAAGCTCAGACTTCTATCTATAATTGCATTTCTTCCCTATTTTGCTTGCTTGTTATTTTTAGTGTGCCTGAAATGAGTGCTATCACTGGCTAAAGCCAGATATAAGGTTACAGAGACTAGGCAATTTTCCCTGCAAAACTGGCAACTCGCTGTTCCTCTCCTTTTTTTTTTTCCTTACCCTCCCCCCTGCCCCCATCTATCTCTCTCTTGCCGACAACATTCACCAAGATTTACACTGGCAGTGTCCAGTCCACTTCAGCTATTAAAGAACATATAAACATAAAGATCTCCGTGGTAAAAGGCTGAAAGGAGGACTGGAAATATTCCCCATCGTGTTTCTTAGCCCTACTCCACATGAGCAGATGCTGAAGCTGATGCAAGTTCTCCACGCGAAGAGCCAGCAGACTCTCTCCACGCGAAGAGCCAGCACCCCTCTGCCTTCCAAGTCCGCAGGGGGGACCAAGGTTTAAGAGATACGTGCCTTCTCATTTAAGAACTGGGATGGTGCTGGCTTATTCCTTTCCCATTTTTGCTAAAATCCCCTCTTCTTCTGCCTAAAAGCAATGCACTGTAAGGTGATAAAAATGAGATCCTGAGGAAACTTTCAAAAGGGCAAGGAGGTAAATATCAAATAACCGCACAATCCTTCTAGGTCACCAAAAGCCAAAACTAAAATTCCACATGACTACTTCTTACTAGAATTACTTTCTACAGAGTTTCTTTCCAATGTCAAGACCTAAACTTTCTTCTATCAGTGTTTTGTAACTAGTTGAACATACTGTCAATGCATTACTGCGATATCTTCCCTTTCCAATGCCTTCAAATATAAAACACTAAGAAAATCAAGACCAGATACAAACCACAGCCAACACAAGACTACAATAAAACTCCCCTTTTTCATCGTTCTTCACGCATAAATATCTTCCATCCTGCTGACTTGGAAACTTGTTTTGAGGTAGATCTGACTTTGAAGTTGTCAAAGGAAGCTGGGACAAATAGTCTGATGCAACTTTAATTCTGTTTTACCATGTACTGCAATCAAGTGAACAGTAAACGAGGCCATATTACTGGGCTACAGTTAAAGAGATTTAGTAAGTCCCGAAATAACCATATGGCCACAGGAATAACTCCCGTAAAGAATATCTCTATAACGGGAATTTTAAAGAATGTAGTTTTTTACTCCAGCAGGATTTTTGTTTTTAAGCTAACAGGACCGTTATATAATTGTAAATTAGTGATAGGCAAAAAGTGCTCCCTTTCTGGGGACCTGCAAGATATTTTTAGGTGGAGCACTAGCTGTCAGATGGCATTTAATTCTTGTCAAATCTCAACACTATCTTGAGCTGAACAAGACATCTTCTTCCTTTCTTACATTTTCAGACAACAGCCACCGTCCCTGGCTCTGCTCCTCACCGACTGCCTGTCAACCCTGAGCCTTTTCCTGGTTTGAAAGGGTCGCTTCGTTCCGTTCCCGGAACCCGGCTGCCAGTGATCAGATTTCCTTTTCCCCTCGCATTTCCTGCAGGAACAGGACACGGAGAAGCTTTCTGTCCTGCCACAGCCAGTTCTTTGGGACAGATAATACAGAAACACTACATCCTATAGTAGGAAAACAGTAACTCCTGCACGTCTCAGTATTGTTTAAACTAGTAAAAAGTATTGAAGCAATCTGAGGAAATGAAAATTTTAATTTACTAATCTCTTTGGTTAATGCTATCTTTTAGCTCCTATAGAATATGTCAGGAAAACCGAGAAGCAATTGAAGAAAGTGATCTCAGTTCCCCAGCGGTAGTTTTAAAAATTTGTACAACTATATTATACCCTTCGCATAAAATCAGAGCCTCTTCCTTAACCTGAGGCTAGACCAAAAGGAAAATCTTTTGAGATAATAATACAGGTTTAACATTTTCTCTAGATGGGGCAGATTTCCAAATTTAAAGAGGATATTGCCAGGAAAGATCTACAAATGATCGTGAGTCAATGACTTAAATACAGTCTCAATTTAGATCAGTCTCAATACATATATGTATTTTGACCCATGTTGCCTGAGCCATAAAACTGTAATCAGCTTAGGGCTTTTCATGCCAAAGGCAGGGGTAGCTTCATATGCAACGAACCACTTGCATCTAATCGAGACACCAGATTTGGATTTTGAGACAGCTGGAAACTTTTATTAAGTACTGGCACTTCTTAAAACTTTATTTGGATTGAGTCAAACTACATCAACTTAAAAAAAAAAAGTGAAAAAAAATCAAGGGGATTTTGAAGCTTGCTATGCTGAGAAAAATAATCTTATTTAAATTTATTCTATCAGTATGCAATCATAGAGTCAAAAAGGTTGCAGGGTAACATCTACTGTGATCATAAATTTGCCTGTTCTTTCAGAACCCCAAAGCAGTCTGTTCGCATAAAATTGGCTGTTCTGTGCTTTAAAGTTAAGAAGAAAATTGCTGTGTGTGTGCATGCATATACATACATACATAAAAATAGATAAAATACTAAGATTAAAGACTATATTAGAATATTCAAAGATGGAGGAAAAAAATCCATTTAAATTTGGTTGTAACCACTTAAATGGCTACAATGGTTCATCATTTAAATCATGTCCTCAATTAGAAGCCTAATTTCTAGGTTTTTTTTTTTCTTTTTCGTATTCTTGGCTGATCAGGTACGCACAGCTCCTGGTGTCTTCTAGATGTTTTGGGCACTGTCTGTGCAACACACAGAGATGCTCTTTTTGGATGCTTAATTTTAGTTTGTTCTCATTCTATAAATTGTAATGCAACAAAAATATACACAATCAAGGACTTGCAAGCTTTGCCTTCGAAGAGAACAGAGTTCATTACCTACAGTAGAAGAACCTCTTAAGAATAAAAATAAAGAGTAACAACACTTCATATACGACATTCAATGAAAGAAAGTTTTAAAAATCCATGCTGTGGGAGATACATTTTGCCACTTACATCTGTTATCATTTTCCCTCTGGTCTTGTTTCTTTCCCTGTGGTTAGCTCGTTTCTGTTTTTGCTGCAGAACTCGTTCCCTGGTGGTGCGGTATTCCAGAGCAAATTCGCTAATAATTTTGCAGAACTTATTGATGTTGACTTCACGTATTGCATAGGGAGGATGGCCCATAAATAACAAAAATGAGTGAAACCTGGAAAACAATGAGTTCATAAATGCAAAGGGAAAAAAATCTTTATTGATGGCTTCTGGGAAAATAAAAACACATTTCAGTGAATCCATTTATTACTTTATTAGCTCCCATCATTTCTTTTGTGCTACAGAATTTTCATGGATGCTTTGCATAACACTGGCATGTTTTATAATTAAAACCATGAAAGTCTCGTCTACGGTAACTTCATCCCAGTCCACTTTCCCAGGCTGATGCAGGAGATAAGATGTTTATGGAACTCTTATGGAACTCCATCTACTTTATATGACTAATTTGGCGTGTGAATGGCCAATTTCATTTCAGTTATAGAAAAAATATTTATTAAGTTTCAATTCTATTTATTTGTATTAAGCAACTTCAAAGAAGCTGTTAGGATGTTGGGGAAAGTCTAGACAAGAAGAATGCAGATTTACAGGCTAGCAAACACAAGAAGGAAAGAATTTCTGGTTCACAAAACTGACCATAAAATTGTATTATCTACCAAGTACTTTAGTTTGGGATACTCTCAATTCACAGTTTTACTGCTTTTGTGGCATTCAGAGCTTTCGCACTATTTGCAACCTTTACTATTGCTTCTATATTGCATGATTTACAATAGCGGGCTGAATGCTTAAAAATGTATGGGAATTCCTTTTAACTGCATCTACATCCCTGATGATAAAAAGTCTTCTCGGTCCTAGAAAGATGCAAGTACATGGATACATTTTTGGAGAACTATAGTAGTAGTTGCAGGACATAATAGGAAAAAATTAATATTTTTCTGCTTTGTACAATGCATATGATAAACACAACAGGAAACTGGTGAATTCACTTCCCTTCCCTTCCAATGCAACTGGGATTTCTGCTTACTTATGGCATGAAAACCCACTCACTATGAAAACAAAAGAAGAGCTGAATCAACTTCTCAAATGTATATCCACAAATTTGGGATCAGTTGGCATCCAGACCCTAACTTTGACCAGAGCAATCTGGAAATTATTCAGAAGTTGGAAAATCTCTCAAAATTTCATTAATAAGCAGGAACACATAGTTGTAGGTCTTGCAAATAGGAGTGGTGCTGCCTATAGAAGAACTCATTGTACAAGACTCGTTTCGACTTCTGCATATAACAAATTTGTCATTAGGACTTCAGTTTTTTGCTACGGCCTGTTCTTTTTTATCAGATGGTAAGCCAACCCCCCTCAAAAGTATTCAGGACAGAAAATACAGCAACTTAACCGTAAAGCTGCTAGCTTTTGGGGACTAGGATTTAAAAGACCCAGTTATTGCACCTTGGCAATAAATGACTGCCTGGATCATTGCTTCTTTTCATCAGAAATATAGAAACTTTCTGGAGTGGGGATCTTTCTTAAATGGCATCTATAACAAAGTATGCACCACATACATCCTGGTAACATTAATTGCTGGAATGTGGATTAAACACTCATAAAAACATATTTATGATGACATAATTTATAATTTTCGCAAGTCATTTATTATCAAGATATTGCTGTCACCACTCTAATTCTGTACCTGTTAATTATTCTTCTGTGAACAATCTTCAGGATTATGATTCTTTCTGCACAGTCTTTAAGGAACTCGGACATTTTTTGCTTTAGAGTTGGCTTCATTTCATGCTTTGCTATAGCCTTAAGGTGATCCCAGGACGCTTTGCACCGTCTTTCCATCTGACACAAGTTTTCCTGGAGTTGTTCAAAGTCAACCTGTAAGAAAAGAAAAGAAAAGAAAATGTAACACTTCAAGTGAAAACACTGGGGTAGTATCCTTGGATATCTGAACAATGCAATGTATGTATAAGAAAGGGTCAATGTCGTGGCAGCACAACATTAATTCACGTTATTAACTACTACTAAATAATTAAGAGATAGCTTTCTCCATCGCACTTTGTCTAGACATGAAACGTTAGTGCGGAAAACAAAGAAATACCCCTATAGATATATATTTGGTTTTAGTCTTGGAGGCCTAACACCTAAAGAAGGGACAATAAAATATTGTGATGTGGTTTTTCCCTTGCTAATAACTTCATGCCTGCACCAAGCAACTGCATGACTCAGTTATTTCTGAGGTAATACAAAACTTTCTCTTTTTATTAATCCTTTTCTCTACTACTCATAGCTTTTTATACCCTGTTTACAGCTCGCTGTTGTACCCAGCCAACACTTCTCCAATTTAGGAAGCACTTGGATCTATTCCCTAGCCTTGCACTGACTTGTTAATAGAGGATCCATTTCTAATCACAAAATTCACGGGCCAGAATTTTTTAAAGCTCTATTGAAAGTAAGTGTTATTTAGTGATCTCAGCACTAACTTTCACCCCTTGATATACAGTACGAATTTGCTGGCTTGTACCAAGATCATACAATGGCTTTGAAAGTCTCTCAACGCAGTTAAAATAAATGACTGCATCCTACAGTAACATTTATCAGGACAGAAGCCAACACATTCCACAGAAGGTGAGAGAGAGCTTCTCCTTTATTCACCAACCAAAAAAGGTGTTCAAATCGCAATGGTCGATAGAAGACATTCAGGATGCGTTGCTAACAAGTGGACAAAGTGCATTAACGACCCAGCCACAGCACACAACAGATGAAGAAAGTCAAACTACCCAACATGTTCTTGAATTCTGAAGAAAGGAAAAATTTATTTTGTAATATCACTTCACAGTTCAGATGAACTCAAGCTATAAAATACAGATTTAGCTCTCGGATTCTAAACATGTCAGTCTTTGGGATGTTACAGTGTGGTACTCCAGTTAATTCCTTAATGCTAAATGAAAACCAGTGTCACAGACAGGTTTTATTTCACTCTTTTTAGCTGTGTGCAACACCCACTGCTGAGACCTATACTGAGGATAGCCATAAGAAATGCATTATTATTAAAAAGCTCCTGGTATTGATTTGATTTGTTTTTGCTGTGATTTATAAAGTGATGAATTTTTCCTCTTCACATGGAAATAAAAACATCCTTTGATCCATTCAGCTATTCAGAAAAGCCCTGCAGGCGGAGCAGCTGTGGGGTTTTTGTTTTCCTTATATCCATATCAATGCATATGTTTTAAAAGTCCTTTCCAGGTCAGTATTTTCACTGTTGATGATAAACACATTGCTGCTCTCCATAGATCGTATATCTAAAACACACATGGGGAAAAATACTAGCATTCCTATTAAGAACAAAAAGCCAAGAGGAGGTATTTCTAGGTCTTACTAGTAAGAATTATCCAACCTGGTTGGGGAAGTCTCTCAGCCCCTTCAGCAGAGAAATTTAATTTTATGGCAGCTTTCACTGAGAACAGAATGAGTTTTAATCTATCCAAAAGCTCTGATTTTCAAGCCTGTAGGGGTTCAAGAGACATCTTTGGAGAACAGCACATCTGCAGGGAAAAGACGTGGCGAATTCCTTACCCCTTGAAATCTCCCAACAGCCAGTGCATCCACATGAGTGGGCAGTTCCAGTAAGGACTGGGGATGGCAGGTCGGGCTGAGGGATGCAAAGGAATTTTTTGAGCACAAACAACAAATCCCACCTCTGGGAAAGTCCTAAGGAGACCGCAGCAAGAAGAATGCCACCTGAGCTCCCCTGGAATAAACCTCTGTGGAGCGCAGGTGGCTCTGCTCGAGCAGAAGTTGGAAACTCCTGGAAGGAGTAAAGCTGGAAATCCAACACAGGAGAATGTGCTTGTGCACTCCCCACATGCAGACTGTCCTGCGCCCATAAGAATGTGACAAACCTGCACGAAATCTAAAATCTTCTGGCTGCCAGCTCTCCAGAGTTTGGTCAGTTGTTTGTGGACAGAAAGGAATACACTTACAGAAAAATATCCCTGTGTGAAATACTAAAAGTCAAAATTTTTCAGACAACCAGGTAGCCCACTTGATATTTCATGAAGTGCTATTTCACCAGTGCAAATTTTGCAGGTAGACACAGAATCCATTGCATTTCAGTCTGCTCTAGGTCTTACACGCCAGGAGTCACGTGAAGCTTCTTCACATGCGATACACCACACAACATCCCTTTCCTCTATCCAAGGTGTAGAAACTGCCTCCCAACAGAGCACCAGGTAACAAAGCTAAGCCTTCAGATCTTTCTTAAAAAAACCAAGCAACCAAACAAAAAACCTAGCTTTTATCAGCCTGCTGACAAGATTTTTCCTACTAAATCTTGCAGAAGTGAGATTTTAAAAGTTCAGGCTGGATCGGCTGAAAAGGAAAATTCTGAAGTTAAAAATATTTGGACCCTCCTACCAAACGTATCAAAACACTTGATAGTTTGCAGCTTTACAGTACTACCTGCGTGACATTTCAAACCACAGAAAACAAGCTTCCCCCCCTCCCTGCTTTTTCTTCTACCTTGCCCTCATCTTTCCTCTGCCATCCCCTTTTTTTTCTTCAGTGCTGGTGTTCAGGTACGAAATTAGCCATAAACCTCTTGGCACAGTAAAGCCAAAGATCCACTGACCACTGATCTTCTAACTGGACCCTCCCGCAATTGCAGACACTTGTACACAGGATCCAGGTGATAATTTTTTCTAGGCTAGTGAAATATAATATCCAGGTTGCATGCCACCAATTAGTGTCTCTTAAGCACATGTATGAACTCTCACACAGGCTGGCTTTCCACAGCTACCCGAAAAAGCAGTATGTATTTTTAACTGATAAAATACACCAAAATCCTGTTGAGGTAATATGCTCTTATTCGCCAAACTCTTACAATTTCTAAGCCTTGTAATGTGTTGGAATATTAACCCAGACAGCTACTAATTCCCTTAATTATGAGCACCAAATTCCGCTGAAAAGCAGGATCCTAAGGAATTTGACATCCTCAGATCCTCTTCTCTCTTCACTGTGAAGGCAAGCGCCTCATGGACATAAAGAAGCTTTTATAGTATTCTGAGCAGCAGCAGTCCAACGACTATGCGGCCAACAAGCCCCTCCATTTTATGCACATTTCTATCACAAAACAGGAGGTACTTTCATCAGTGGAAAATGTAAGTAAAACACAAATCCGCCCAAAAAGCAAATATATAGCCTCACTTTAACTGAGATAACCAACCATGAAAGATGAGCACAGTGGTCCAAACCTAGATCTAATATTTGTGCACAAATGTTTAAAAGCAGTTACATTATTCAGAAATATCCTTGTAATTGCCTTTTTTTTTTTTTTTTTTGTATTTTTTCTGTCATTGTTGTTCTGTTTAGGATGTCTTCCAACACTGAAAGTGTTATATACAAATGTAGCAGTAACAACGATGATAAATGATCCCCCAACTACGTGTTGCTATGACAAGGAGAACAAGAACTTGTGCGGAATAATACTAATGACAATTATTCAATCTAATATGCATAAAGGAAACATGAAAATGCATATATAATACCATACCTCCCTCCCTGCCAGTCCACGCAGCATTCCCAAGGGAGCACAGATTGCACCTTTTTATTTACGTGTTTATTTCCAACACTTTACTAAAAGAATTAATGCTGTGTAATGGTAGAAAGATGTAATTCCTTTTTTTTTTTTTTTTCATTCTTTCTTTCCTGAAGGGAAAGATGCACCAATTCTTGCCTGCAGCTGGAAGGTCATGCTGGGACTAAGAAGGAACTCAGATGATTTGTGGCTCCGGGAGACCTCAGCATAGGAGGTCTCGGAGAAGAACTGCTGTGGCACTATTTTATAAGTAAGGTCCACTGAATAAAAGGAAGCCATAATCTGAAATTGTCTTTACAGCTTTCTCCCTGGATAGCAGTGCATGGATGTTGTATGTGGCCCCAGGATTTGGAGGAAGGTGGAAACATATATTCTTCTTTTTCCTCCTCAGTACATATATGTGCAAAAGACATGCAGCTTGCTGGTCCTCCTTACTGTTACCTTCTGCTACAATTCTAAAAAAGAAATCTCTTTTTTTTCCCTCAGGCAAAAGAACGAGTGGTCTTAGGCTGTTATGCAAAATAAAAATGTCTTCTTTTTCAGACACTATGTAATGTTTATTTTCATTTGTAAACCAGTTTAAATACAGCAACTTTCTAAATGCTCCTGGGATATATTTGATATGTTCCTCCTTTCTCCTGCCAGGTTCCTCTTCATTCACAACCACACTACTGAAAAATATTCAGAACGATTTGTTATTTATCTGTGAAATCTCTTCCTAGGCCCACTGTTCGGTCTTCTGAGAAGCGCCTTTGTAGACACTGTTGCATCAGAGTGGAGTAGCCAGAGAGAGTCTATCCAAATCGGATTTAAAGACTAGTTTACGTGTCACAAGCCCTGCAGGGTCAGCCTCATTCAGGAAACCATCACTAATGGGCAACTTTAAACATAAAAATCTATTTTTCAATTTAATGCACCACCATATTTTGCACAAATGACACTCAGACAAAGAATAAAACCTCCCAACCACATGCCAGCAACGCCAGCACTCATTTTAATCCCTTTATATCATTATTTATTGCTTGCTACTATAGTAACAGATGACTCTGCCATAAACAACAACACAAAAAAGAATTCTACCAGATTTCTCACTTCATTGGGCTGAGAATTCAATATCACACGATACACCTACTGCTTAAATGACTTCTGTTCTTGCTGGTTTTCACCTGACTCAAAACCACCACTGCCATCAAATGGCTCAGCGTTCACTTCCCTGCCCATTCAGGTTCCATCAACACTGGTCCTTTAAAAGACCTATTTTTTTTCAAGTTCAACTCCATGC